TATATGCACTGTCAGTCTCTGGGGTTGCCCTGGCATTGGGGTGTTTTTTGCTCCTCTGTGTAGGAACAGGTGGGAGAAGCAGGGTATTATGATGCCCTCTGAGAAGATCTACTGCTAGTTACCTGGTTAATGGGTTTGTTGACAAAAGCTCCCACCTTCCGTATAAAGATGGTCTCCAAAAGGTCATGTGGGGAGCCAGACTTCCCTTCGCTGCTGTTTGATACTGTTTCTGTGTCCTCACTGGGGGAGGAAAATAGACTAATTAGTGACTCATGGCACAAACAATATAGACAAATCACATACTTTACAAGACTCCTTCATTCTTCTGGGTTTACTCCTATAGTATTGGAAGAAGGACAACAAATCTCTCCTTGTACCATACCCTCCTCCTCAGTCATGAGCGCAAAAGGGGAGTGGGTCACTTGTGGAATCAGTTTTTTGTTTGAAGCTGTGTGAAAACTATTTAGTTGAACGAAAAGTTGCTGCCAACTGAAACAGGCTTTTCTATTTGGAGATGGACTTTTAACTTCAGAATGTGCACATTCACAGCAATTCCTGTTCATCACTATATTATTTTTTCAGTAATACAGTAGTCACAGATCTGTCAGGAGGTGAGGGCAAGAACCAGAATTGTATCTGTCACTCAGGTTACAAAGACAGCAGTCTAATACAACAGCTGCTGCCAGTATGATTAATTCACTGCATGGCTATTAGTTATTTCTATGACTTTTTTTTTCCCTACCACAGGTATTCAGAACTTTAAAACAAAAGGTTGAGTCTTCTGGCAAGAGGACTACTTAGATAGCATACCCAGGAAAGTGTAACTGTGATTTTTGGTTTCCTCATAGCAAAATATCTGCTTAAGATATTTGACTGAGAACTATGTGACCCCAAGAGAAACTTCACAAGAAACGAATATGGGAACAAAAAAGAAGGCTTTAATTAGCTGAGAGGGACATGATTTAGGACAGTTTGAGGTTGCATTGTTTCCTTTTAAGTAACTTTGTGTCTAAAGTTTATTAATACAGTAGTGAACAGATTTGTGGTAACTACAACTGTTTTTGGTAACAATTCACATTATGTCTCTGGAGAATATAAGACTCACTTGTGAACTTCATCTTGTTGTTTTACAATCAGCAAAAAACAGATTAAAAATAGATAAAATTGATAAAGTTAAAGGTGACATAACAGAAGTTGCAAGGATGTTACAGTGACTAGTAGGTGTCAGTAGATGGGTGAGATCATTGTTTGGAGAGAGAAAGGCTGAAAAAAAAAATCGGAGAAAGCTGCTAGTTGGTTTTGGGGGTGGAAAGACAGTAGTTATGCTACAAACAATACATAAAATGGGGAAAACAAGAAGCTTTATCCTAACAAGATTATAAATGGGCTAGTGTAAATGGTGGATCATCTAAAACCAACCTACCTACTAGAAGGAGTAGCTGCTGAGTAGTGGACTCCATCCAGTGGGGTGCACATCCTCTCTTGGTCAGCTTGAGTGCCATGTGCTGGCTGGCTAGGAACTGGGGGAACTCCCCCCTCTTTGCCTGGACCAATCAACTGAGATGGAGAGGAGCGGTCAAGTTAGAGATCTCAAAATCACACCAACACCACAGTGCAATACAGAGCAGATTCTGTCACATTGGGACTAAGTTGTGGGGTCTTTGGCATATGGCTGGGCTCTAGCCCCCATAAGGCTGAGAGGTGTCAAGTAGAAGGTGATCCCCACAATACAAACTCTTTTTATGCCCTTCCTATTCCACTCCAGGCCTGTCTTACACTGCAGAGCTTTCTGGCCATAGGTCCTCTGCTTCAAGGAGGCAGGAGCCAGGGACAGAATTATATCCTCTTGCTATGACCTCACTGCGCTCTACAGCTTCCCAAGGAGGGGAAGCAGAGAGGGAGGTGCTGGTCTCTTCTCCCTGGAATCCAGTGGTAGGACATGTGGGAATGGTTCAAAGCTGTACCAAGGGAGGTTTAGACTGGACATTAGGAAGCATTTCTTTACCAAGAGGGTGGTCAAATGCTGGAGCAGGCTTCCTGGAAAGGTGGTCAGTGCCCCAAGCCTGTCAATGTTTAAGAGGCATTTAGATAATGCCCTTAACATGCTTTAACTTTTGGTCAGCCCTGAATTGGTCAGGCAGATGGTCCCTTCCAACTGAAATAGTCTAGTCTATTATCACTGTGTCAGGAAAACTCCAGTGTAGCAGGCAGAAAAAGACTTCTGTCAACTTTGCTTATTTGTCTGACAAACGAATGCAAATATGCCAATTTGAACTGTCAGTGTATCCTGTGTCTAGGCTACAGTGCTGTGCTTGGACAGCTACAGAGGCAGCAGCTCTGCAGGACAGCCAAAGTCTGGAATTGGTGACAGGCAAACAGGTCTGGTGCCTACTCTCTTGGCATAGTGTTTTCCATATGACCCCCGCTCCAGTAAAGTCAGGGATGCTGATGAGCCAATTCCCACCTCCTGTACAAGTTGTGCTTTCTCTATATTTACCCTACATTCTTTTCATTCCTGATGGACAGGATACCAATGCATGCACTAGTTTCAAGGCCTCTCTCAGATGTACAAGTGACCCAAATGGTTGCAATACCAGCCATGCTTGTTCTACCCTCTACAAGTACCTGGTGAGGGTGTGCAGCATTCAAGCCACCAGCAAAGAGTACAGGATACCCCATGTCAGCTGATCCAACTCCCAGGGCAGCGGGCTGATAGGAAAGACGAGAGCTGGAAAGCTAAGAAAGAAGAGAAAAAACAAGAAGGGCAAAGGGAGAGGAGAGAGGAAGGGGAATGCTCCACAGTCTAAATACTCATCACTCACTGAAGAAGGAACAGGAAGAGTCAGAGGCACAGCATTTCAGGCCGACAGAAGCATGCTAGATTTTCATTGGAATCAATGAAGGCTATTACGCTAAAAAGTTCTTATTGCAGGGGACTAAGTCTGGGCCTTGACAAGAAAACAAGACTGGTTTCCTACAGACATAGGAGGAGGCTGTGCAAGGTATGACTGACATCCAGTCACAGGGAACAGGGAAGCTCTGCTCCACAGGCCTGTTTTGCATATTGGAAAAAACACGAGTGCCATCATCAACTTGCTAAAGAGCTAATATTGAACATTTTTTCCGCCAAAGCAACTGCATTATCAACTGTTTGAACCCATTCCCATTGCAAATCAAAATCACTGATCTTCAAGGCCTGTTCAAATGGCTTCAGCCAAAGAATAGAGTCCCTTAAATGTGTTAGGCAAAGAGAATTGGGAAGCTAACCCTTGTGAGATTGCTCTAAGAATGAAGTGCTGGAAGCAATGAAACTCATTTCTTACACACCCCAGGTAGAAATTTAGCAGGTCAGATTAAATAAAACTTTCCTGGTTTAGCTTGCTTGACCTCAAGAGAAATATTTCTTTCAGAGCTCTGTGTGTGATACTTTAGCAGTGCCAATGCTGACATCCTTTACAAGGGCCTGAATGGTGAACAGCACTTTTATTCACATGAAGCTAGCTAAGCCTAATGGAGCACTAATGACTGTGCAGGTTCTAGGGACACTGGCTATTAAGAGAAAACACTTAGCACTGTGCCTTACTACTTGTGTCTTTTGCTAACAATCCTTGCAACAGCTGTTTGTTTACTTAGGGGTGCTTGCCCTGTCTTTGGGAGACTTCATCTGCAAAGGCATTTAAGCAGCCAGTCTCCATAATGTGCCTGGCCCGTTTTGGGTTCACCAGCCTTTCCCATGCATAACAAACGTTCCACATTGCCGAATTTGTACTTTCCTGTATTTGTCCTGTCATACCAAAACTGTATCTGGCCATGTATAACATATTCTATTGACAACTCACTTGATGTGAAAAGGCCAGTCCCATCACTGGGACCTTCAAGGTGTCCGTCACCACAGGAGGAGGGGTCGGAAAATGTGCCTTTGTGACAGTAAAAACACACTGTACACAGACACACAGAAGAAACAAGGAAAAGAGAGTGAGAAAGAGGGAGAGAGAGAAAGAGAGAGAGGACTTCAGAGAAGAACTATAAAGAGTTGGATGAACTGAATGCTAGTGAAGAGGTTTTTGGCTGCAGCAGCCACACCTACACGTAGAGCAGAAGTCTCAGTATTGCCAGAAGCACATTCATTTTGCAAAGAATTGACTGTTTTCCAGTCTCTGTGAACCATTCAACACAGCTAATAGTTTGGAATTCAGTGAACACTGACAGAAAGTAACTGCCAGAGACTCTGTTCCACAGCTAATTAGAATTGGTACCAGCCAATTAGCAAGGAGAAGGCTGAACAGATGCCAGAAAAGGCTAAGAGTATTTTTTTTTGGCATGTACAAATTACATGTATTTTGATACCCTCCATCCACACATACCCCTAATCTTCCAGCATTCTGAGGGATTGTATCTTGGCAGGTCTGTGCTGCACCCTTAGAATAAAGGGGACCCAGACTAAGGTGCAATTCAAAAACATTGATATGATGAGAGAACTCCGTCAACAGGCGTGATGTTCCATATATGAACCCTGTCTCACAGAAGGTACTAATGCAAAAAGGGCAATCCAAACCTGGTTCAGTCCCATGCCTTCTCCCAGTCATTCTCCTACCAAGAGTTTTCAGTTTTAGGAAAGCTTCATTTCTGGGTGTTACCCATGGTCAAACTTTCTCCTGAATTTTGGGCTACTCCACAACACAGAGAGACAGGCTATGCAAGCTCACAGGGAGAGGGCAACACCTCTTCCCTTGTATCATGCAGGTTAGGCCTCATTTCTAGTGGGAAGGCAGGCAGAGATTTGGACAATTTTCCTACAGAACCACACAGTTCCCAGTATTTTCCTACACATTAAGTTGTATATAGAAAGCTGGAGAAAGAAATTAACTTCTTTTTTCCCTTCTAGTTTATTTTAGAGACCACTCTGCCAAGGCAGCCCTACAATTCTAACTGTGGTAACAAAGACTGGCAGTTGCTTTGTAAAGAAGTGCACAGCATATGGTAACTATGAGCCACAGGAAAAGCAAGAATGTAGGCTCATACTTAATGTGAATCCTCAAGGTTCATCTGGTTTCATAAAGCTTTTCCCCTCAGTGACAGCAAAGCTTCATGTCCCCTCGGGAAATGTCAACTTTAATGTATTTACATACACTGTTACTGATAAGTAACACTGGCATGAGCAAGCCAGTGGAAATTTCCTTATGAAACCTTTTGCATTTAACCCATTTTGTGAAAAGGCATTTCACAACTCGGCCACAAGCTCATCTCTTGAGCTGTGTATCGCAGAATAAGAAAAGCTTTACTCTATCAGACTTACCGTGAGCATCGGCTGATTAGTTCAACGTTGCCTGATGCCCTGTCACCCAAAATCCACTTGGCGCAAAAATGCTTCCTAAGAAAAGCTCATTTCTAGCTTGTTCATACAGTAGAATACATTCTGCTAAACCAGTGATACTAACTCTTCTGAAGCAGTGGAAGACCCACAGCAAATTCTTTCAGTTTGGAACAGCATTCCAATTATACTTCATTCTAAGTTTCACATAGACAGCAAAAGAGATCTAGAGTCTTTAGATTGTCTTTAAAGATCAGTAGAGCCATCTGCTTGGCTGGACAACAAGGCAGGACATTCCTGAATATTTAAAGCTATAGGACAACTGCAAATCTGGCCAAGTCTTCAAAATACAGAATTGTGGAGTCAGATATATAAGGACAGTAAAAGAAGGAGGAATTGGAGTTTCTGATTTTTGATATTCAGAAGGAATCCATTATCTAATTATTTTAAAATTGAAACTTAAGTGAAATTTGCATGGGTAGGTGGAATTCCAGAGTATTAAGTCCCTAGTTCAATACTGTGACCCAGTTTGTTTGCTGATACTTATTCCTGCTATGGTCCAACAAATACAGCTTTTGTCTTTTTCCTGTTTTTCCATTCTGCAATGCAGAAAATATGACTGTGCTGTAAGCATTTTCCTGATATTTCAGTGTTTCTTTTTTAATGTCAGTCTGTTACCTCTACTTACACTGCCTGGCATCAATCTCTTGAGTTCCTCTTCTTGCAGTATTGGTATGTGAATGTATATGTACACTGCTATCGTCTTCAAGCACATGTCAGCCCAGCTACAGGAGTAAGTTCTGTATTTCTCAGTAATTCAGTCCTCCTAGTTCCCTAGCATTTTGTTGAAATTAGTTTTTAAAAAAACCTACTAGGTTTTAGTCAGAGTGTAACAATATAAATAACCCACACATTAAATTTTAATTAGCAGCAGGAGGCTGCCTTAACAGTGATTTTTCTATCTAGGAGTAAAAAGAGCCTGGTTTCTCTTACCTGAGATGGAGGAGAGGTGGAAAAAGATGTGGTACACACTTCTTGGGAATCTTCTACTGAGGGGTATACTGCACCATTGTCCTCACCAGCTCTAAAGCAGCAAGAAAAGAAAAGCCTAACTGGAAATATTACTTAAAACAAACAAATAGTAAGACACATTGGGACAAACACTGCAGGAAGGTGAGATTGAGAGTATTTGGGTGGAGTTGAAAGGACAATTATGAAGAGGTCTCATCTACTTGGCAGAACTGAGGAAAACAAGGTATGAAAACTTTAATTTTCCCCAGGCACTCCTCTTCTACCCGCTTCCCTCTGCTTTTTTTTTTTAACTAAAAGCTTCGTTATACCAGCTAACGCTACTGGCTTTGGTGTGTACAGAACCATTGTCAAACAATACCTCTGGTCCCAACCTAGGTGCCCTCACGTGCATTTTAGAGAAGACAAACCTCTCATCTACAAAGACAAATTAAACACTGATCTTTCTCCAGTGGAAATATCTGGAGATGCATGCCTCTGGAAACATAGTTCTACAGCAGGATTAACTGTTATGCTTTCAACTTCTCAAAGGCAGCCAAGGTTAAACGTTCTTTGTGTCCAAGTGCTTCTGTAAGCAATTTGGCAAAATACTGGCACTTGCTGCACTCAAGTCTTCTAGATGCGAAAAGAAAAACATCACCCTTCCTCATATGCTCAACCATGTCAATACGATTGTTGCTAATCCTCCAGCCTCCCTTCCCATGCAGTCAGCAGAGTGGAAAAGGCTCTGTATTTGGGCATAATCGATGCCTTCACCATGGCCCATGACTTCAACTCATTATTTCCTCACCTGTAATTGCAGGGATGCATGGGCGAAGAGCTGGGATAGGGACGGTCCACAAAGTGATCAATGATAATCCCCATGATAGGAGGGGTCCTCTCAAACTGCCTGCAAGGCAACAAGCAATGGCATTATTGGCTTTTTCTCTCTACTCTTGTCCCAATTCACAGTGCCCTCACAGAAAACCCTTGTGTCTGTTAATGGGACCAGAGCATCTTCATAGTTCAGCCCTGCAACTCCAAGCACGCATCAACAATTTGGAATTCTAAAGTCTGGCTCAGGGCTACCCAAATACTCCCCTTGCTGCAAGACTTAAGCATGAGAGAGAGTATTCTCCATGAAGGAGGATCTCAGCAGGAAAGCATAAGCAGAAGGGAAAGATTTAGGGGCTCATAATACGAGTGATTTAGTCGTACATTATTGTAAACCACTTTCTGGCGTGATCACATTTTCTTACCTGGTTGACATGAAAGCAAGGTTGATTCTATAGGCACAAGACAAAGTAATGGTGCCCACTGGGGTACCCACTGTCCCAACACGGACTGTCTGGAAACCTGTAAGGTTAAGGAATGATAATCAGTTTCAGTGATAATTTGTTTTCCATACATTTCTGTTCTGAGGTTACAGGATCTTATTTCTATGGTGTTTCTGTTACCCCTTGCAATCTGAACTCCAAAGACACATATAGAACCCATAACAAAACAGCAGCACTAGGTTGCCTTACTGGTAGGCTTCATCTATGAGACTTCTGATATTGCTTCCTATCTTGGTCTAAAATATTGCTCTGAAGTGCTGCTTTTTCCTGAGAAGATCACGATCTCCTTTACCAGTCCTGCCTCATATCAACATACTTCCATGTTCTTATTTCAGTTCCAGATCACGACAGTCCAAATGGCAATCACCCTAGACTTTGTCAAAGTACCACTGTTATACCTGTCACCTTATGACAAGACCCTTCACTGGTAGATCCAGATAAAAAGCATGTGTAAAAAGCTCAGGCTTAGTTTTCCTTATAGAACTTAGGAATAGTAATAAATGGCTAGCCAGGATGGAAAACAGTTTTGCTCTCATTTGTGTTGCCTAATCGTACCTTCTCCCAAGCCACTCAGTTGCACTTCACCAAAATATATCCTGCAGGAAAAGGAAAAAGGTATTAGGTCCATTGGGGACATAATGCTATACATATCCTTATTCCTGATTTAATTTTATGAGTTGAAAGGCTGGAACTACTTTTCCTCTTTAGGAAAAAAAAAAAACCACAAAAGAAGTGGCTAGAATACCCATCTCAAAAAACCTTCCAGCTGCTTCAGAGGAAGACATGTCATGTAAAAAAAAAATGGAAAAGAAAATGGTAGTCTATTCAGAAATTTCTCTGTAAGGTTTTTAAGCCTCTGTAGCAAGTCTACAGTTCAGAGCAAAAATGTGAAGTGATATAATCATCACACAAAATAAAAGATTAACTGTGCTGTAAAGGGACCTGCTCTTAAGTAGAGGCCAAACCAGCAATGGAGGCAAAAATAAAAAGAAATCACAGCTATTTCTTCAAGTTCTCAGCTGTGCAAATGATAACAAGCCTGAGATTTAGAATCATCGAAAGTAGCTATGCAAACATGTCAAATACTTTCCTGAAAGCCAAAAACAAAGACTGGAAGGTAATAACCATGAACCACAAGCCAGTCTGTTCTCACAGGCTAAACAGAGTTGAATTCTGTATTTGGATGAATAAACTGCAAGAACTACAGAAAGTGGAGCTGAGGATGCGTCTTCAAAATGGAGTATCAGGAGAAGGTCTGAATCCATACTGCAAAAGTATGCATTGCAGTTACGTGCAACATAGACAGGCATTTATCAAATACAGGCCAAAAACTGAACAACTAAGCAATTTAACCAGTGCTTGCATGTAGAATTTTTGTTCTCTTCTCAATGTGGTAGGCAAACAATACTTCATAGTGCTTAGTTTTTCTTTCAGTGGCTCAGATGGAGGCTATAAGGTAATATATAGCCCAAAGTTCTCTTCTGTCACTGATTAGTAGTAGTTAAATCCAAATAATTTGACTTTATTATCACTCATCCCTTTTCACCATATTTGCATCTGTGCTGTGCAAATCAAGATTCTCTGCTGCTTGTATTTCAAATGGGGGATTTAATATTCTGCTTTACCTGTACAATATTACATATTCATGGCCTTGTTTCCTTGAGAGTCTGTAGGCTGGAGTTACCCTGGTTATAGCAAGCAAAGACTTCAGCAGTAGAGACAGCCTGTTGTAGACAGTGTATGAAACTTTGATTTCCTTGTCACACCTATAGAACACAAAGGAGAAAATTACTCTTTTGTTCCCAGGTAAGACGTTTGGTTGTTTGGGGTTTTTTTTAAATCTTTTAAAGTCAAAATGAGTCCGGGCCAATTGCTTAATGTCAGTTTTATTGCCAAAAATGATAAAATAAAGCCCCAATGTGGCCACCCGTTATTAGCCAACCAGCTAGGAAAAATCCTACTTCAATCTAGCCACCTGTTGTAGAAGTAATTGCTGAAAAACGCTGTGCAGCCTTCTACTAGACAGAAATATCTTTTCAGTATTAAAGACATTTGTCATTACTGAGTATATGAATTCTTGTACCTGAGGAAGCATAATAGTTGTAATGGAAGAATGAAGAAGGAATAAAATTACTAGTTTATTTTCTTGACACCAATATTAAACAGTTTACTGCACTAGACAAAGAGGGGACTGCCCTCTGAAGTGTCCCAGGCCACACAGCCAATATGTGCTCACTCATCACCATGGACTGAGCACGCTTCCCCATTTCATCAGCTAAAACAAACACACACACACAGTAAGTCTGAAGAATGCACTTACTTTTCATTCATTTCTAGACACCAAATTTCCAGCTCCATGGAGTCCCCCTGGATCAGAGAAAGGATGGCAAACAAAGGCTCATTTCAAAACACAAACCTTTTCACATCTCATGAATGATCACCAACAGCCATACCTCTCCATAAAAATGTTTCTCCTGGCTCCCACTTTCTTGTAAGGCCACCACAGAAAAAGGTACACTGGAAGTCTCACTGCACAATTAGATCACCTGAGGGAAAACCTTCCTCAGAATGGCTAAGCTCTTCACGGTCTAAGAACTAAATGTTGCTGCTGTATCATTTGTGTGTTTGGCCTCGGTTATTTGCAGTGAGTTCCTTCTGTTAAACAATACATTTCATTAGCATACTACCTAACTTTATAAATGAAGGTATTTTCACATCATCTTGGACTAAAGGGCAGGAGCTCTGGTAGATTCAAGTAAAAGAAATGGCATCTCTTTTGACTCAATTCTCACCTCTGAGGTTTTGAGAGAAATCTCCACGCACATAGACCGTCCAACGGCAGGGAGCTGTCCTGCCAGGGCTTTCTTTGCTTCATGAGTAACCTCTGGAATATCTTTGATTGCCAAATTGAACTGCAGAATGAAAGACATGATTCAATTATTTTACTACTTTGAAAAACTACCTAACGGTACACTGCAGACAGACTCATAGAGCCATATATAACATACTAGGTCAGTGTCCACTGAAATATTTATGAAACAGAAAATTCCCAGATGGGCACAGGCTTTTCATATTTGCCAACATTTCCTTCGCTGCCAATTCAAACATTTTTCTTCATCCTGCCATAAAAATCATGATCACTTTCCCTCACTTGAGTCCTACCCACAGAGTATCTTTAGTCTCTTAAATTTTAACAAAGTCCTGAACTGCAGAGTTGCAAACTTCTGACAGAAAAGAACTCATCACCCCACCGCCAGCAGATCTTGGAAATGCGCCTTAGCTGTCAGGAGTTGCTGAGAGGTATCATTTATCTCCCCTCTAATCAGCCCTTAAGAGCCCAGAGTGACATGCTGCAGGTGAACAAAAACAACAACAAAAAAACCCCCACACCACCAATGAACATAACTGAATATAGTAGTTATTCTATGAATAGTTACTACAGTCTGCACAAGACTATAACAACTACATTGTTTTCTCAAAAAATGCGCGTGTGCGTGCACACACACACAAAAAAACCCCAACAGTTATGGAGTTGCTTTAAAAAACATGACTTTACCCAGTCAGAGCCTGTTGGGGAGGATGATGATCGGGTACAGATCTTCTCTCCAAGTCTGGCCTGGACAATTACTTGTACCGTCTGGAATAGAAAGAAAAAGATACACACTCATGCTTTGAGCTCAGCAGAGCCCTCAGTTCAGAACCTGAGCTAGACAAATTACAAGTAAACAAAAAGAAAGGCCTGACCAGGATGTAGAGAAGTGGAGTTTGCTATGCTAATCTTCAGGTCTAATCAATTTAAATTATTACATGTAACAGGTACATGTATTTCAGACAGAGAATCATTTTAAGCTGACCTTTCTCTGTAATAACATGAAGTCAATTTTGGGCTCAGGAGTTGCACAGTTGTGAGTAATACTGAAACAAAATTTACAACTATATCCTGGAGCTGGACACATAAATGTAAGTCAAGTGAATCTGTACATTTATAAAATAGCCATTGTCAGAGTATCTACTTGCATCTACGTAGCAAGTGAGGCCAAATTTTATAATTACGTATCAACATAATTCAAAAGAATGTTCTGGTATTATTGATTTTGGATGCAATATAAAAATTTAGATAGGCTGAAAAGAAAGAGTGGAGTCCAACAGAAGATACCACCTAACAGCTGGATGGTTGGATGTGTTGATAGGAGCCCAAAGCTGGGAGAGGTGTGAAGTGCCTACAACTGATTCTACAGCAGGACACCTCTGGAGGAAGAAAGAGGATTTGAAAGTAGAAAAAACAGGAAAAGATGTTTTTCTAGTTATTCTCAGGAACCTCCTAAGGTTGACATCAACTTTTCTTGCTTTGGCCTTTAGCAAAAATAAACAAAAAAACCCAACCTTGTTACTCTAGCCACAGCAAGTACTGCTTTTCTTAAACAAGAAAGAAGAGGCACTTGCCCACAGGAGAAAAAGTTACCTTTAAAGCAAAAAATTTGATGAACTTGTCCAGGTCCTTCCTGTCCTGGGAACTGAGATCAGTGTCCATTGCATATGGCAATCTGAAATATAGCACAGGCATGGGAATGAAGTCTTCTTTCAGCTTTCTGTTTGGATTTCAAGATTTCAAAATATTTTGCCATTAAAGGCTACCTTAAAACAAATTATAAAGCATCAAAGGCCACTGCCTGTCAAAATTCTAACATGCTAAGAGCTTTGTGGGGCAGGTGTGAGGTATAAACGTGCATGAGTAAGTTTATCTGGTCAATGCAAAAGAAAAGAAACAACAAAGTGGGCTCACAATTAAAACTGGGTACAGGTTCTCCAATTTTGCTAGCTTAATGAAAAAAAAAAAATCACACACAAAAAAAAATCCCAAACAAAACAACCCAACACCACACTGACTGGATTCTATACCAAGCTAGCCATCAGACATGACAGTCTCTGCTTCAGAAATAATACATCTTCAGTTATCAGCACTGGTCAAAACCAAGCCAAACTGTTTTTTTGAGTCTGAAATTCTAAAAGCAGTATTCCAGCAGTATTTCAGCAGATACTGAAATCTATATAATAAACCATTGCTGGAACAGGCTACACCGCTTCTTTATTTCCAACAAATAGTAGGTGCAGTAAACCTCTACAGCTACTAACTTACCCATGACCAACTGAAAAGATACATTTTTGCCAAGGGATAGACTAAAATACCCTGTTCACTTCCCTTGAAAGCTCTGACAACAAACACTTAGCTCCCACATTCACACTGCCTCGTTTTTCAAAATACGATTGTTTCTAGCCATACAAAGAACCTGCACAGCGCCTGAAGCAAGGCAGGCCAAGGCACTAATTGGATTTCTGCCGCCATCATGTCACATGGCCTGGGATAAATCACAACTTTTCTGTCTCTCATTTCCTTCACGTCTAAGTTAATAATCATATAGAGACCATGGGGAGGAATGTCTTAATTAGCAGCATTAATTGTACTTTTTGCTCATAGGCCTTCAAAGTATTAATTCACTCTTAATTCCTGTTGCTGTTTTTATTTCGAGACAGCTAATCAGCCTGAAGCAGCTTGTCAAACGTCACGTATTTACAGAACACGCTGCTCATCGCAGAAACGTTGGCGGTCTAAGGTCAGCGAGCACGAGCAGCTGCCATGCACAAGGTTACTTACTCAGCATTCAATCTTTAAGCAAAGACTGAACTTGCAGCAAGGTACACTGTTTATACAAATTAAAGCTTAGGAGGACAAAGGAGCTAATGGCCCTGTTCACACAGAAAATATCATATAATCTTTATGGTTATGCACATCCGGAACTTATATTTAAAATATCTCACTTAACAGCAGTAAATGCCTATTTTAAATAATGCTTTAGGAGCATCATCCAAGAAGGGTTGCTCGGTAAGAGTACTGCAATTTACAGGGAATTTTATAGAGAAGAGTGCTGCTTTCTGAACAGCTCAATAAAAAGAATGCTGGACATCTAATATGGTTGAAAGTTCCTAGGCTACATATACACTGCATCTCCTAGTGCTGTACTGTTCTTATTATAAATTATAATTTAATTTGAGAACTAACACCACAAACGATTCAACATTAGATGCATTATCAAATAACCCTTTGGATATTTTAAACCTCCTCATCAAAAGTATTATACTTTCTTTCCCTGCCTTTACCTCCACTAGACAGAGATTACAGATCTCTTCTACTGTGGGAGGATGCAAAAGGAAGTCAGCACTTAAAGTGCTAGATGTTTAACTGATGCAGCGCAGCACTCTAACTTAAAAGAGAAACCTTTTAGTATAGACACTTCCCACTACCAAAAAATAGGCAAGAATGACCTGTTATCATTCTTTTGACTTAACTAAGTAAAGCACTGTAAGGGTTTAGGGGACCCAAGATCTGCAACAAAACTCAGCTGATATGGGCAATAAAATACTGCATTAAAAAAACAGATTTTTTTCTCAGCAAAGAAAATGCTAACGTTTAAATACCAAGAAAAATCAAATTAGCTTTTAATGTGAGAAGAACCGAGAGGGCATTTCTACAAGAGCCCCAGAGAAAGGTGCAAGGAAGTATATATCCTCATGTTGTAGGAGAGCTGTCAAATAAAGCACCTACATTTGCCTTATGGGGCTGGAAAAGCATTCTGGAATCGACTATTGCAAGACATTCGGGAACTAATGAAAGGTGTTAGGCTCACTGGTCTGTTAGGAAAGGAAACAAAGCAGATCATCAGCATGGTTCCCTGTGCAGTACAGGAATTAATTCTAATGACTATATACCCAAATATCTCTAGAGAGGAGAGAAACAGGCACCAGAGATTCAGGGTTCAAAGACTGAAAGAAAAACCCTGAAAACAGGGTTCAAAGTCTTAGATTCAAGGTTCAAAGAACGAGAGCTTTGCGGTTCTGCCCTGCTGCAGCAGAATTGGGATTCTCCTTGCAAGATCTCAAACTATATGTAAAATTCATGAAACATTTGGAGATTCATACTCTTACCTCTCAAGCTCCAAATGCCAGCAACAGTTGACCCTCCAGAGCCTAAAGTAGAGCAGAAAGTATCAGGCAAGGTTTCCTGTCAGGAATCTGTAATTTCAGGGGGAAACTGGGACCTTGGAACTCAGCTTCTGACATGTCTAAGGGCTGTCATCTGACGACCACCATCTCCTCATTTTTGCAGGAGGGCCTCTGGTGAACCTGAGATCTGCTAAGGCCCAGGACAGTGTTCACCTTTAGAATCATTTTTGATAAGAGTCAAGATGGGCCTAGAATTACAGCAAACATGTTACTTACAAAAATGCCTTGGCACCCTCAGGTTAGCTGCCACCAGCTGACCTGAACAGGAAGGAAATTCTTTAAACTTAGTTCCACCAAACTTATTCAACTTCTCAGGTCCTGTAGATTGCAACGCCAGCACGGCTCCTTGTTAAGTGCCATATCCAGGCACACGCGTAGCTCAAGGAAGACACTGTCTAATTTTACACTGAATAACAACTAGAAGGAAATAACCTTTGGTCGTGGTTAGAAACCTACAGATGACCGATTCCCCCTCAACCAAGTAATCGCTTAAGTAAACCAATATCTCACTGCTTTAGCCTTACACATAGGCTGTTCACAGGTAAAAACAAGCGTCTTGGCCACACGGCTTTTTGCTTTGTCTCCCTCTTCCTGCAACATCCATTTTCATACTATTGCCTTTATCTATATGCTTTTGTCTCCACTTTCCTCTAAACAGAAACATCAGAGTCAGGTGTTCAAAGCAGAACTGCCACATGTGGCTCTTTTGACTAAAGCCTTATTCTTTCTCACAAGGTTATGAGGCAGAGAATACTAGGCTTATCCAACAGTTTAACATCTAAGCACTGTGCCTTATACACTCTCCTGGTATTTATACTCTCCTTCTCCAAGGAGAAGGACACATCAGCGTAAGTTGATGCCACCCTATTCGCATGATGCAATGAATTGCAAGAGCCCTGCCCTTCATGCCCAGAGAAACTACAGCTACCAGCATGCCACACTCCAGTCCCTGTAACCCGGGCGCACAACAGGGGCACAGTTAACACCTGTGAACACTTGCATTACAGCATGTTTTTCATACATGGGAATTTAGCGTGTATGTCTGTTTGACATTCACATACATAAATGGGAAAGGAGGAGAAGCACCTGACACACACCAGGCATTATTATTGTCGCTGGGACAGTATAGGCAGGCTGCTTCCATTGCCTCCCTCCTCTGAGATTTCACTCTGAGCCATGACTGCTACAACTTGCAAGTTGTCGTGCTTTCCTTTTGAACAGATATTTACCAATGCAAAATCATTACTCCTGGTTCCATCCCAGAGTGAAATTAAAAAGACCAGAGGGAAGAAACAAGAAGGACTGTTGCTGTAAGGTGGGGGCTGAGGAAAGCTCTCAGCCCAGCTGTACATACCTTGATTACCTGACTGTGACCCCCAGACACTGCTCCTTGTCCCTATCACTCTTCCAGAACTTTTTTGTTAATACAAACTAAACCCAAATCCAACCTCTGAGGATGTCCTATGTCAAGCTCCAGAAAAGCCTCATCAAATCATGCAGGTAAACAAGCAGCACATGGAAGTTTTTTAAGTTTTTAATAGAATGTCTTTGATAAATAGGCTGGACTGCCAAGAAACCTTTCCTAGAACATCCTCTTCAATGACCAAGAAGCTTCACTGGAAGCAGGTATTTTGAGCACATTAATAAGCAACTATAAAAAGATCTCCATAAAGACAGCACTCTGTTTCAGGGCTGGGCCTACAAGTCAAACTCCAGTATCCTACAATTACTTAAAATTAATCTCCATTTCACCTTCTTAGTAGGTTAGTCAGAAACCTGGGGAGAGGGAGGGAACAGTTCTAAATTTTAAGGCGTGCCACTCTCATTCTTTAAAGTTTATGAATGTTTTTTTAAGAGAAGACTAAAGTAGATTCTAGCAGAAAAACTGTTTCACATAATATAAATATTCTGATGAGATCAAAGACTCTGTAGTTCACTATATGGTTACATTTTGACTGACACAAAGAGGCAATTCTTCCTGCTGATCAGGAAATAGATTTACTTTATAACCGATAAATTACTTCCCAGGTTAGGAAATATCTTACTAAAGCCAGCACTGCCAGCTCCACTGGCTTAAAAACAAAATTAAGTAATTCCTGCTGACCGGCAGTTACATTCTGTACTTCCTTAAGGTCTAAAAATGGTGTCAGTTCAAAGGTCCATCCTCTCAGTTTGTTTGTCAGGCCAAAGTATACAGACTAAACCAGAATCTGCTTCTATGTACCCTGTACTACAACTACCAATAGAATCACCAGTTCTCAACTCTTGTGTTAATACATAGTCAGAAAAGTTGAGATTATACACCACCATTTAAGCAAAATAAGGTGATCCTGTATGATCTGTCCAGACACATCAATACAGTCTGGCTCACCCAAATGACTTCTTTCTTGCTACAAGGAGGGTTCCACCAGGTCAGGTCACTCCTGCAATAATTTGGAGATGCTCTAAACTTCATTTGCATAGCCAACTAAT